ATATATATATATATATATATATATATATATAATTATATATATAATGAATGACCTTAAATGACCTTTTATGATCTTAATGACCATCTGACCATGTCACAAGTGTTATAAATCCTTGCCCCCGACGAGGTGTCAGATTTTCCCGACGAAAGCAAAGTGGGCGTGGTTGAGCTTCGATTAATAGGTTTCGAAAGTGGTCCTGGGCGCGAGGCCCCCGAAAATTTCGACAATTTAGGGGTTGCAAAGGCTTGTTTAATCGATTTTAGAGTCTACTAATATGTAAAAAATACATATAATATTTTTTCTTCCCGACGAATTGTGCTTTTTCTCCCCAACGGGGGAGGGGGGAGTGGCAGCTCTCCCCGACGAGGGACCTTTGGTCCCCCGTTCGCGTCACCCCTGGTCATAGTAGAGATTTTTTTAATGAAAAAAGTGAAAATCGATCAGTTGATTCCCCTGACTCCTAATGCTCTATGGCGTATTTATCACCTGGTAGATCTTTCCATATGATGGGAATACCATACCTGGTCCTCCTGCCATTAATAAACAAAAAGCTAGTAACACTAAATAATATACCAGCAGTCTGTTATAAAAAAAAAAAAAATCTAACGTATACACCTTGCTTAATTCGAAAGCCATTTAATTGATTTACTAAATAATGCATAGCATATTGTACCCTGTGTATTCATAATACATATTTAATTTAGGCCACATTTTTTATATGTATTTCACAATATCCGTCAACTCGTACAATGTAGGCGCACATTGCTTGTTATTCATATTGCATTATACGATAAATATGTTCGTGTATCTTGCACTTTATTTATTCATTGAGGAATAAGCATACTGTAACCTGTGTATATATAACACATGTTTTATTTAATTAGCATACTGTCATCATTATAGAGCAAAATGCTGTAGTCGGTGCTGATGTGCGAACATTTTGAGAATATGAACCTCGGTGCCCGGAAATTGCACTCTTATACCTTTAAAAATCTGACCGGTAATTCATAATCAACGATAAACAAATATTCTTCCTAATAAAATTTGAGTGGGTGGAATGGCACCGTCTGCACCCAACCCACTCGTGACCTCATGATAGGCTTCACGGGCTATTCACTATAAAAATATCATTGAATTGATTATTTAACCGATTTGGTTCAGTAATATTGGCATTGAGTTGTACACAATTTTTTTCTTTATTTTTTACAGGGACTACTCATTCATCGATACAATGGCGATGATAATTGCTATATATCCAGCCTCGCGGAGTACAATGATACTAGATCGGTAAGCCTACGTCATCATTTTCTTTCTGCTGATGCAATTGATCATTTTTGGGGAGGAAATCATCAAGAATTAATATTGTGTATCATAATTCCATTGAGTCGTTATTTTAATTTTGATAACACAGTAGGCCTTGGGTAGACTTGCAACAAGTCCCTCATGTTTTTATAATTCTGGGTAGCGCCACCAACGTGTAAGTTGTAAGCTGTGGGTCACGACGAACGTGTTATTAAATACTCAGTACCTAGCACTTCCCTATCCAGTTCTCCACCCTCCATAACCCAGCTTCCTTGGTATGTGAAGGCTTTGGTCTCCTCCCAAAGCCTTCAGCTACGTACCTAGAAGGTATCCCTAATGCAACAAATCAAAGCATAGCATTGTAGTTAAGCGTTCCTTCTTTAATCTAATCAAAACAAAGTGTTGCAACAAAGAGTTCCATTGCAGCCAATGATGATCGTCAGTTCAGGATGTTTTAACAATTCCAACTTGCAATGTGTGATTGAAATTATTAACTAGAGAATTATGTAATAACCCTGTACATTATGATACTAGAGCTGTACAAAATTTACTTTCTGGTAAACAGCTTAATGACAATTTAGTTTTCAAGGTTAGGATTTTTTGGTCATTGAAAAAGAATAGCATTTAATGTATCGTTATTTTCTTGATCATCTCAGGCACAGGAAAACCCCTCAAGTTTGTTCAAGTACAGACTGGAACCAATTTCAGAGATTAAACGTCAGTACTTCAGCTACACGGCTACCGAATCGATTAAACGCGTTTGCAGTGGCGCTGTAAACATATTATGGAGTGCGATTCATGCTGATGATGAGCAGGAAGAAACGCGACAGAAACGCGATTGCAGACTCCAGTGTGGGTATTGGTGTGGCTATAATGGTTGCAGTTATGGTTGCCATTTAATTTGCTCTTTCTAAAATAATTTGATATAAGTTTGATTATAATGATATAATGTAGTGTATTTTCACTTGATAGCGTAAGCCTAAATACCGAATTTAATAGCTTCTCTGACCATGGCTCACATTGGGTTTTCTACTTTTAGGCCTATCAATTAACATTTTCTCTAACATTAAATTTCATTTTCATTAGTACAGACTTATTCATTTTACATTTATTTTACAAAGAAAAATGCTTTCCTCTCAACGAATTATACTAGGCCTAATTTATAGGACAACAAGAATGAAAAGTAAAAAAAAAATCACCAAGTACAATAATTTTGATGATGAACGAATGTCAATGTAGAAAGGCGTACGACTTAGTGGACCACAACATATTAAAAAATAAATTGCCTTAATTGGAAGTCAGCGAAAAATGTATTTTATGGACTAAATTATTGTTTTAAAATCGTACTGCACTAAAATATGAATAAATACACCTCGTGTCTTATTTTGTTCATATTATTGTTTATTAACGATTTCAAGTCTGATCCGCATGTTACTAAATAAATGGATGACAACTCGTTGTTGGAATGTGTTAACACGTTAAATAATCAGAGTGCTATACAAAGGTGTGCTAACGAAGTCAATTTAAGTTCCGGTAATATGAATATTAAGAATAAAACTAAGAAAATTATTATATCTACAAAGGGAATTGTGATAGATGACAAAGAAATTGAAGAGTTTTGAACATCAGTGTTCTTGGTGTAACTATAAGTATTGTTACAAATCCTAGGTGGTGTGATCATGTTACAGCTATTTTGCGTAAAGCTAATATCAGGCTACATTTTCTTAAACAACTTAGCAGAGCAGGGTTTAGGGAAGATGCGCTGCTTCGATCAGGGGTGGCGCCAGCGGGATGGGGGGGGGGAGAAGGGGGTCCAGCCCCTTTTCCGTCGGGGAGAGATCCACCCCTCCGTCGGGAAGAAAAAGCATAATTCGTCGGGGAGAAAAACAGATACACGTATTTTCCAAATAGGGCCTTTATTAAACTCTAAAATCGATTAAATAAGCTTTTGAAACCCCTAAATTGTTAAATTTTCGGGACCACTTTCAAAAGATTTTAATCGAAGCTAAACCACGTCCACTTTGCTTTCGTCGGGGAAATCTGACCCCTTGTTGGGGCCAAAGCCCCCCCCCCCCCCCCGGGGG